GCCTTCCCATGACTCTGATCCACTCGAAAACCTGGTTGACGCCATGTTCAAAATATTAGTTCATCTAACGGAACTCAACATTTATTCTCAGTCGCCCACATACCTCATCGCGTGGCATAAACACCGATCTTCCACTCAAACACTAAAACGTCTCGACCTGGGGACTCCATTCAACCCATTCTCCTTCCCCAAGAATGGAATGACTTTTTCGAGCGTGACACATTTTACTTTATACCATGTCACCTCTGAAGAGCGAATTATTCTATTCGAAAACCTGCGGCCATCCGTTTTTCCGTCATTGAAATTGCTCAGCGTCCACTGTCTTAGTCTTCCACAAGAAACCACGATCCGAGCATGGCTCAATGTTCTCAATTCTCGCGTTTTACTGGAGCTATGGTCATACTCTATTAGTGAAAGGGAAAAAATTGAACTCATGGTCGAGAATATGATGACGGAACGTGTTCGCGTTAGGTTGCATGAAATACCTGTATAATGTTTCTATTTTCTGGGTGAATTTGGTAAATATCAGTATCTGTATAAGTATTCAGAAAATCCGGACATTAGATAAATGAGGGCTGAATGGAAGTTATCCAGCTTGTTATAGATAGACCTCCAGTGTTTGTCCGAAGCTGTGTATTTGAGAAGACTAGAACCTTTCTCTCTCACTTCCATAGCCTCCGAGAGAATACCCTTACATATCGCCTGATCTAACGTCTTGGGTTTGTTTTTAATCCCTCGGTAGGCTCTTTTTTCAAATTCATGATCTGGCACATATTTTACGAACAGCGAGACTTATTATGGCCTCTTCGCGACATGCCTTTTGTCTCTTGCCGTACGAACTGCAAAGCGACATTTTTGCTACGGCTGGCTGGGCGGCTGAAAGAGAAAATGACCTAGTTCCTCTCTTGCTTGTATGTAAAGCTTCGCATGAAAGGTAGGTGTACAATCCTTCATTCTACTTAGTGGCATATTCACCTAATATGGACGTCGAAGCGTCACGAGTATTCTATATCACACCCTTATCATCAACAAAAAAACATACAACGCAAAAGTTGAAATTTTTAGGCAGCACCAAGTTGCCTTTGCGACGCACTGTCGAGCCTTCCGAGTTGGCCTCTCAAGCGCGACCGAGAAAGAGGTTGATTACGTCTGGAAGGTCCTTCTTCCAGGTCTTCCCCGCGTCACCCACTTCGAATCATTTATTTCCGACTGGAGTTCATTTAACGAGCATACTGGCTCCGCATCACGCTCGTATGCGATAGCACTCCAAGCCATCTCTACCTTACCCCTCCAGCATCTGCGTTTGGACTGGCATTTCAACAAATCGGAGTTATCATTAGATCACTCTCCGTCACCCAAAAAATATCTATCATTCAGGTCTTTGACACACTTACGCATTGCGGTCCAAGGGCAGACAGAACCCTTTCCACGGCTCTTTAGGTGGTTTCCATCTGTTACCCATTTACACCTCAATTTACCTCTCGACGACCCGCCTGAAGTAATCAAAGAGTATTGTTTCGAAGTCCTGGGGCTACTTCCCCACCTCCGTCTTCTCTTGCTTACGAGATCTGTGAAAACAAATGAGTTCTTTTCAACGCTAAGGCTTGACGATCCAAGGGTTGTGTGCCATGACATTCAGAGTGGGACAGACGATTGTTTTCGTGGTATCATAAAGGACGATCCATCCTCGTTATGGCGGCGAGCGGAATACGAGAGAGATATTGGGAGATTGTTGGAAGGCACACAGAGCCCGCTCCAAATGTCCTGGTCCGGCAATAGCAGGCATACATGAATGAAAAAGCTGAATGCATATATTTTTGGTGCCTGCACTCGTGTTTTACGTGAGCTCAAAGTAGTTTCTTTTGTCGTTTCTTACCAGTGGGGTCCAAAACAACGTCATAGTCCGAAAACGTCCGAAGGCTTCTGGAGGATCTTCGGTCGTTAGGAGATTCAACTCAAGGCGATTGAACCATTGGATGCTTGTATTTCCGTCGGGAGACGTCGTATGCAGGGAGATAGGCACGCCGCCTTTCTTGACTGTGTGTTTCAGCGGACTGACCTCGACTTCGCAGCTATTGCGCTTGGTACAAACGATCATCACACACTGAGAATATCTCCTGGAACCTTTCCGCAAGGCGAAGCTATTGTTGTTCTCGACGCCTATGGTCGATTTTACGTGATTGTTCTCGTGCTCTCTTTTATTTAAGTTCTTGGGAGCATATTTATTGATCTCATCAATACAAGGTGAGACATGTCTCACCGCCTGGCGTGTCAGAATATCCTGTGGACTTCATGACCTTGGAGTATATAGTGATGCTCACTTTGGCTGATAGGCTGGGCATTTGGATCGTCATATTTTCCCTCTCATACTGATAAGTAGTACATTATAGAAGGAGGCTTTTTTTTTTTCTTGACGTGCTCGCTCGCCCAGCCTCAGGCTTGTAGTTCCTATCTCCTCGCTTTCCAATTGTAAGGATCTTTTCCTTCATAAGAGAGGAAGATATAACTCCATTTTCCAGCGGCATCGATAGATATTAGCTACATACTCTAGGCCACTTTCTATGGCTCTCTTTTTCCCCAAAGTATCCCAAATACGACACTTCTAGACGGACGTCCTCAGCCATTTGGATTTTCCCTCGCCGACCAGCCCTTGATTTCTAAGTAACATAATAGCTCAGCATTATCCTCGCACGGCGTTGCTCTACTGGCCATGTTGGGCTTGCCCCTTGAGCGACTTGAGCTGCGTTTGCACTTCAGTGGCTCTGGGGTGAGAAATAGTCCAGTTGTTCACAAATGATTTCATCTTGTTTTACCTTGATGGTTTCTCGGACTCGCTTTTGGCTTGTTGCTTCGACATTGCCAGGCCCCAGCTCAGAAATGTTTCCGCGATTCTCGTGTCTTATGCATATTCAATTCTTCGTCAGATGGTCAAAGAGTCCACATAGTATAAGAGGTTCTTTCTCCAAAGTCTTGGACATCTCTCTTGACTTCGTCTACCTATCCTCGCTCAGGCATATTGTTTGGCGGAGTTCTCTTTTTGCTGATGCTCGGACAATGGCCGGGGCTAGCCATAGCCGCAACCTGACAATTTTTCGTGGAGACATCAAAGATAAAGATGTTTCATCCTCCTTATGGAAGAATGCAGAACGTGAGAGAGAGACAGGAGCGGGGGAGCTCTTTGGCCAGTGAGTATAGTAAAGTGCTAGAAACCCTGGTGGCCACTCCTCAGCCGAACAGGGTTTTTCGTATTAATGGCACGGATCAATACAACAAGAAATATTACTCTCCTGAGGTGCATCGTGTCGATTCCTTGTACTGAAAAATATAAGGTTTACCTCGTGTGACGACCACGTGCGAGGAGCTATACATTTGTCCATGGTAAAAAACCCGGGTGCAGTCTGTTGTCTCTTCCTTCCATTCCACCACAACCACTCTTCGTCGCCTGGTGTTAAGGATGGACTACTTCGCGCCGTTGACTCTTCGCTTTGCGAGGATACCGTCCAAGACCTCCCAGCCCCGTGCCCAATTATCTGCACGGAGAATTCGTTCGGAAGATGGTGGCCACCCTGTTGTTCAACTACAGCAAACGACGCACCGTTCGCACAAACGGAACGCGTCTTTCGAGTCTACAGCCTCTTTACGACCTTTTCTGACATCGCCGCCGAAAGCCTCACCAAGTTCATGTGTCCTCACCTTGGATTGTGCTATTTCCAACGTCCTGCCACAATTTTCTCCACCAGCCTCGTTGCTGACTTTGGAGTCCGTCGACGAAATTCAAACTCCGGTATCTGCGGTGCTGGATTCTTTCCCTTTGATTATCTTACCCGGGGACGAAACCACCGAGACCTGGGATTCCATCGTTGACACCAAACCTGGATCTTCGTGTGGCCCTTCACCTCCCACTCGCCCGCCTCGACCAACTGCATATGAAGAAGACTTTAGCCTGTTCTCCGACATTCCTGATCTCGTCCTGGACGAGCCAGACCTTTCCTCAGTGCAAACCGACCATGTGTCCCGTACGTACCCACTTTTTTTTCCATCGCTAACTCCGACATTGATTGTTCATTTCATCCAGACAAAGACCAAAGTACTCTGCACTTCGCAACGCACAAGTCTTACCGCCCACGATTCACGCCCACAGAATTACCGCCGCCAATTCTTTTCCCCTCACGACATTGCCAGATTGGCTTCGACGCCCCGGACATCTTTCCGGAAATTCTTAACCTTACGACCCTTCCAATGACAGCACCCACGAAACCAGTCCATCTAGATGACCCTCTTCATTCCAGTCTCCTCTCATCCATTCTAAACCCTGTGAAGCCTTCTCCAATGCCTCAACCCGCTGCGGCGGCTGCCTGTCCACCTTCACAACGTGACACTGCTCCCCACCGACGTGCTCCAACTTTTACCGGAGACACACCTTGTCGCCGAAAGACCAAAGCGCCGAGACCACCTCGCAAACTTAAAAGAGGCGGAATACTTCTTGCTTAAAAGAACTTCTCCAGCCTCCTTTACCTATAGTTACTTCACCTCAATGGATATACGTACACTCTTGCGGTCTCGCTATCGTTGCTCTCTTACATATGCTTTTTTTTCTTATTTCCTCTACGGTCTTCCACTTGTATTTGTACCACTCGCATTTTTCTTTTCACTTCTACTTACCTCACGCTTCACATCTTTATACGTACTCCCGTACTACATTTTTCGCATCTTTCTCTTCTGTGCCATACAACGAATATTAATGAGAACGTCATGATCAAATTTCCTATCCTCTGGGCAGCATGATTTGACTGGGACCGTTCATTGTTCACCTGTATCCTCAAGGGCTGCAGGCATGGGAACACATTTGGATGCACTCATGCGCTTTAACATATATGGAACTAAGCGTGGTCTATGTAAGTGTTTAGGGGTGTGCATAGCTTGTTGTAGTGTAAAATTCTTGGACAGAAAATCCATCTTCATAGGGGACAAGAAAAACAATTTTATCATCGTAGACACACTGGACACATTGGGAATTGAACCCAACACCTTTCGCAGTACAACTTGAACAAGTGCGAAGCGAACGTGATAACCAACTACACCATGTGCCCAATCATATATCTAGATCCCACCTACCTCTCGACTCTCCCAGGAGGAGGTCGCCTCAAAAAAACTGTTCTGCCAAAGCTTTTCCATTTCGAACGGCCGATTGTAGTTGCACATTTGTACATTTCTGTGACAGTAATTACAGACCTATCCAGGATCATATTAGCTTGTGGGTCGGGCCGCCTCATATCCATTTTCCTTCCACTTCTTCTCGACAACCAGTAGACTGTCAATTGTAGCCAACAGTGTCTGCCCAAAAAGGATAATGTTCAGCTGCAAACTTCAAGTACATAAAAGAAAATCACAAACCTCTCTAAAGGGCGTGAATTCGCTCTTCTTAAATCCTAAAACGTCTTCCAACCTCTCATATTCTAGGTTAGGCAATGGATGAAGAGGAGGGAAGTCGGTCTTGATAAGCCTGTCCTTCAACTGTGGTCTCTCCTTTTCAAGGACGGCAACAGCTTCTTTCCAGTCAATGACTTTGGGATTCGCAAATACCAATCGCTTTCTTCCTACTTCGCTAGTTGGTTTCCCAGTCAACGCGAGAACGTGAATCTTCGCAATGTCAACGACGGAGGTTTGGAGTTGATTGGGAATGAGTTGGCCATCTGGGAAGATGAGCTGATAAATGAAAGTTGTCGTTGAGAGGGTCGTAAAGTCTGGTTTAGAAGGGAGTAGGCTTTGACGTTGAGGACTGAGAGGCCCATAGAGGACAGTAGGGTTCACTTGGTAGGATGAGATAAAAACCTGAAGGAGGTATAGAACTGAGTCAACGCACAAACTGTGACATCAACGTGGGGGTTTCTATCTGCCCATTCCCAGAGAGCAAGTTCGGCGAATTTCTTGGACGCAGCGTAAATAGCCATCAGCGGGAGAGCGCCAGAGAAAGCCTGCTCCTTGGTGACAGGATTCCAATCTTCAGATGAAGGTTAAGAAGGATTTCAGACGTGCATATGAAACATACCGACCATTGGCAGTGTATGAATTTTGTGGATTTCTCACACTCGCGAAGGAGCCAGTTACTACGAGTTTATTGACACCAGCCTTCTCAGCTTGAGTAGCGACATTCAGAGTCCCATCAACAGCGATCTAAGAGTTGAAAATATGAGTGAGCATCAGCTGAATCGATGACAGAAGAGGTCTGACCTCGAACAATTGTTCAGCTGTCTGATTGGATGGGAGAGGACTCGCAGCGTGGATAACAGCACCGACATCAGAGAAAGCCTCGCTGAATGTGCTCTGGCTGACATCTTCAATCTCGAAGACTTCAAACCGGTCACCAGCATCAGCGTAAACGGCCCGCAAGCCAGTGGCGGTAGATCCTCGAGCAAGAGCACGGACAGAGTAACCAGACGATAAGAGCTGATTGACAATGTGGGTGCCAAGATACCCAGATGCACCGGAGACCTGAGGAGATTTTTAGAACGAAATTACAAAAAAGAGAAAAGAGACAGAATCTGAGAATGACGCACGAGAACGCGATTTGCCATTTTGAAATTCAGGAGGAAGGAATGGCCTGGTTACACAGTCGACATCCACAGGCAGCTTTTATACTCATTTATGCTGAGGGATTCGAAGAGTGTCACGTGAAACATGAGAGGGAGGATCCAGCGGAAGGTATCCGCCTGGACCATGGCAGAATGCGACCGGAGGTTTTACCGTACGAGGGATCGGATGAACCCGCTGTCCTTGTCACGCAGGAGTAGAGGGCAATTCTCGAGGATACATAGTTGGAGCTATGGATGTTGGCCTGGCGTCATCATGGAGGACGGGATCAACTCTGTGTACATGTTCGGCATCACAGTCAACTGTTGTAACCTCCACTGCATAGCGAACGTCATGGGTCATAGGCTGTACTCTAGGCTATATGGTCTATACCCTGGCAATTCAGAATAATTTCGGCAATATTCTGCCTCAACCTGAAATGTTTCCTCATACACATTGTCTTTTCCTTCTCTTGTGGGTCTAGAAATGGTCGGTTTCTTGCTTTAAGTACAGTTTCATAAGTTAGAAAATATCGAGGGTTGTTTTAATGTGCAAAAGAGATGAGGTATTGCCTAAAAGCGTTAGAGCCTTTTGGGGTGTTCCGGCTCTTTGAATAGGCCAAGCTGCACAGTCGTCATTGAATGAAGCTGAGGAAGATTGTTGCCGAATCGACCCAGCTCCATTCTTCTCCAGTTGTGGTGGATCTTCACTTCTCTTCATGGTACCAACAACCAGGATCTAGTGTCCTCTTCTTGTAACTTACCTTCTTGGATGTCCTTCGCACTTAGTATTGTTCCAGGGTCCCATAGTTTCGCCCTTGATTTGGGAACACCAGCCGGAAGGATGACGCATAGTCTCACACTTTGCTTGCGGATCAGATCAACGGTGCACGACTCTGGGGAAAAATCGGCTTCAGGTGCCTTTCGAAGGGTGTGGTACATTTCGTTTGATGGGCGCGCCGCGCAGTATTGACTGATCGTGTTTAGGCGCCATTTGCACTTTAGCTTCTCACCACAGCTGTGGCGCTGATTCCTGTGACCATAGGCACCTAGTCTCTTCGCAGGATGCCATTTTCTATCTCTGCTTCTTCGAACTGTGATGTTTGCCTCAGTCAATACGACTGTACGAACACCGCGGAGCATGAACGAGTAATTCCAGCAGTTATTCCCTGTGGACACGTTTTATGTCTGGCGTTTGTTTTTTCCTTGTTCTAATAGGATGAGCTGGATCACGAATAGAGAATGACACTAGATGTTTACAACGTATTTCTCCGAGGGTCTGTCCTCTTTGTCGCCAACGGTTTTCTGCAGATCAAGTGAGGAAAATCCATGCTGACAGCGTCGATCAACCCCCCAACGATTCGCAACATATAGAACAAGTATGTTTACCAGTAATTTCTGGAAAGCGGAACGGGATTAACTCATGAACGAAGGGCCGGGCCTACCGCAATGAACCAGCGCGTCCATCATCAACCACGTCCTTACCTGGGCGGCCACTTCTCTCACGCTCATTATCAATTCCCTCCGCACCTCGCTGGTCACACTCTCTGTATTCATTGATGCCCCAAATACCTCACTTCTTTCGTTCATTTTCCACACCATCCCCGTCCCGACCATCCCGACCCTCACGTTCATCATCAACACCATCCCCACCTCTAACCCCTAGCCTTTCGCTAATATTCGAGGATGAAAATCCAGGAATTGTTGCCATAGCAGTTTGGGAGTTGAGTTTTCAAGCACTGTTATAGAACTCAGCATTCTCAACTAGTTTTTAGCTTCGACGCTCTTGAGGATTTTCAGATAAATCTTCACAATGGGGATTTAGTCGTTGGGATTGACACCGCTAGTGATGAGTGGTGGCGTGGAAGTGTGCAAAGGGCCGGTAACTGGGAGCATGGATTTTTCCCTGCGGATCATGTAGAAGTTCAAAATGAATAAATGGCGGAGTGTAGGATTTCTGGGATAGGAATTCAACTGTTGTAGCACCGGATTCTGGGTGTATCGAGTTTCATTGGGTATTCTGGAGCATGTACCTTTTATTTTCATTTTTTGAATGTGATCAATCATGGATACTTGGCAACACATAGCGCGAGTGGTCCGTCAGGTTCACGAAAGCTATCTAGTATTGGGTGTGGGGACGGCTAAACGAGTCGGGTTAGCGACGCGGAATATAGCGACAGGTATACTACAGGCGTAAGCGAAGTTACGCCGAATTGACAGTTAGATGTGGTATTTCACAGGATATTTCATGGCTTAGCCCAGAAGAGAATAAAGAAGGGTGCCAAACAATTTTAGAACAAGCAAATAAGAACATGTGTAGGTGAGTACACGTGGTAGATTTATACGAGGAAAACAAATGTTGTGAACGAAATACAGAAGAAATGACGTGAGTGAGTAATGGCTGGGATCTGTTTCAACCCTTCATGGACATCAAAACAGGAATAGGTATCCTCTGCAATCCATTAATCCTACTGCTCGTTCTTGAATCAATACTTCAGGAAGCATAGTCATTACTACCTGTGTAGTACGACGAGGGTAAAGCGGAGGATGAACGACCTCAGCGAACGTGCCGATACTCTCCAAAGGGACAAGGGGTTCGTTGGGTTTTGGCACTTCGCGGGGGAGTTTTGGGGGGCTTAGACGCCCATGAAGAAGAGGTAGAGGATGCGTTGGTAGGTGAAAGGTGGATGTCGCACCATTCCCATTTTGATTTTGGGAGCCGGTGAGGGCGGGGTTGAGCGCAGAGTGGAAATGAAAGAGTTAGATCTGATTATGTGAGAGGATATTTCAGAATCGTGCGAGATGTGTAAGCTGGAGGACGAGTGGCCATAAGCGGGGAGTCGAACGGGATGAACAGGTTGTGTAAGCATTGGTATGGGATTCTTCCATACTTTTTACGGTTTAAGTTAAAATACACGTCCTTGCCATCAGGTTTTGACTAGCTTCAAAAGGTCTTCCCCAGTGAATGTGGGAGAATCCAGACGCTATCGTCCAAGACGACAGCCAAGGTACAAGCCGGTCCGCGGCATTTTTATCTTGCATCTAACCATCATACAGCCATTTTCGTCGAAGTCGAAGTCGATAAATAACAAAGGTCGAGGTGGCCGCTAAGAGGCGGAAGGAGTTGGAGATGAGACAGGAAAAAAACTGCGCTCTGGAGGAGTTTCTTTTGAGAGATGAACCTCGACAGTAGACAGATGGATTTGAGACGTGCAGATACATGGTCGTTGTGCAAGGCAGTGCTTGTGATGATATGGAGATGTGATGAAAGGTCGTTTGCATAAAATGATAGGTCGTCCTGCACGGTTTGGTCAGCTCGAGTGCCAAGGGCAGAGACTCGGTTGAGCTTCTAGGAGCATAGGGAAGCGATGAATATGACATATTGGAAGTCGTCGACGAAGTTGGGGGTGCATTCTATGGTCTATAGCAGTTATGGGAGAATGCTGGCGAAGCCCAATGGCATCGGGGGAGTTCGAGGTGTTGCGGGTCCCAGTTCAAACTTCGAAAGAAAGGTGTTAGCC